GGCGCGGTTCAGGCGTTCACGGGGAGACGTCTCAACAGCATCGGGGAGGAGGGTGGGGGCGGGGATGAGGAGGAGGACCATGTGAAGGATAGGGTTAAGTTCGGCGGCCTTGCCGCGCCTTCGCTGCGTAGGGGACCAGGGCAGTCCGTCGGGAGGAGGAGCGAGAGGGGGGGGGAGGGGGAGTGAGGAGAAAGGAAATCCCACGTCGATGCAATGAGTGGCTGCCATGGGAGGAGGAGGAGGAGGATGGGGGGGGGGGGGGGGAGGCAAAGAGACGGGGGTAACTTTCTCGTTCGGGGCTTTCTTGCCCCACCCAGGCACCCTGAGGACTGTGCGCAGATCGGGGTGCCCATCGGCCCTGGCTGCGCCTGGAGTTGGGCGCTGGTCTTGCCGGCGTCCGACCCAGGGGGCTTCGGCGGATCGGCGTGCTCCCGCAGCGCGCTCAGGGGGGCGGGGTTGGACTGAGGGGGGGGGGGGGGGGGTCGCGTGTCGCCCCCCTGTGTCAATTTTGATGAGGCTGCGCTGCCGCTGACATTCGCGGACCACCCTGCATCGCTTGAACATCCCGGCAAATGCGTTCCCCTGGGGTGCTTCTCAGACGCGGTGCCTCGCACAAGGAAAGATTCGTTCTTTGCGCATTATCTTTCGAATTGTCTTACAGGCAAGCGATCTTGGAGGGGCGCGCATGAGAAACCATGCCCCGTAGAAGGGGGCGCGCGCGGTCGGGGGGGGGGAATGCAGGGATAGATGATGTTTGGGGATGGCCCTGGTGGTGAATATCCTGGGGAATCCTGGGGGTGGCCCTGGTGGGCCAGCAGCGGGTGCTGGGTAATGCATGTGCGTCCCTCCAGCCATGGCTGATAGCAAGCATCAGAAAATCCGACACTTGCCGATGTGGGTGCAAGGGGTTCTGCGCGTTTGGACAGCTTTTACGTGTTATTGTATGGTCGGTTAATGTCATGACGTCTGGCGTTCATCCTTTGTATGATCATCTGGGCAAGACTTTCACCGATGATGACAGGTTGGCGATGAGAGGCAAGCCTCTCGCTTGCGGATGGGTCGGGGCGCTCGCGGAGTATCGTGCCGATCTGCTCGAGATGATTACAGCCCTAGGGTTTACTCGATGGGGCAACGTTCGCAACCCGTGTTTCAAATGTTCCTGCAGTAAAGCAAGCATGTTTCGCTTCTTTGCCACGATTGACTCGTCGTTGTGGACGACGCGCGACGCCGTCGCATGCGACCGCATGATCGCAAGATCGATTAAAACAGTGACTATCACTAACGCAGCTGATCTGAACATGTTGGTTTCAGCAATGGGATTCGATGAGTTGGGTGGCTTTGCATCATTTCGTAGAATGCCGAGCCTTGGCCTCGATAGCGGGTTCCGCTTGATAGAGTCCGGGCATATCGCCGACATCCATGCAATTTCTCAACTGGCCGTCCCGCCAGGAGGCTTGGAGCTCACATTCTTTAACAACATGAATGGCGTTGGCCTCGCTCCGACATGTCCACTTTTCCACGTGAAAGGGTTTTCAGTGAATTTGCTCCACTTGGACGTGATGCGCATCTTAGACCTCGGCGTGTCGCAGTACGTGGTGGGGGTAACATTTTACTTACTGTGCAAACTCAACTTGAGCGGGTCACAGCGCACCGCTGTCGCCCTCAGGGCCCACGCCAACCTGATGCACTTGCGCAGGACATGGGGGCGTTTCATTATGCGCCACCCACGGAACACCACCACGGGCACCATGTTTTAGAACGCCAGAAATGATGGCGGACGGAGGAGAGGAGGAGCGAGAGGGGGAAACATTGGATGAAAGAGGGAAGCATGGGATGAGCACGGGTACTTTCGAGACCCGCGGCTCGGTCGCGCGCCTGCGCGGCGTGCCGAGAGCGCGTTTTTTTTGCACCTGTCGCCGCCGCCGCGCCCCATGCGTTCTCCCTTTCAGCGTGATACATGACGTTTTACACGGTTCTCCTGCGGACGAGAGCGCGGCAGTCCAGGGCTCCGCCTCGCCGCCAGAAGCGTTCCCAGACACGCCCGAACCATGCCCGAACCTTCTTCTTTTCAACGTGAGAAATGATACGGCACAAGGGTTGAAGGGATTGAAGGGGAGGGGTTGGAAGGATTGGAGGAGGATCGGTCCTGACATTCCGAGTAAGGTGTCCGGATCGACAAACGTCCATGCTGTTTTTTCCCAATCGTTGTCCACGCATGTTTCGCCCATCCGTTTCACCCCTCCGTTTCGCCAGTCCGTTTCGCCCATCTGTTTCATTGTGCAGGGCGCGCGCCAAGTGTTGGCCGGTGCGCAGCGCGTTTCCACGTTCTTCGTTTGAACGTGAGAAATGACGTTTTACGCGTTCATGCATGGCCGAGGCCTCGCGAACTCTGCGCGTTGAAAAACAAGAAAAACATGCCCAAACAAACCACTGGACCCACCGGGCCCCTCCGGGCTCAACCCGGCAAAAAAGGGAAATAACAGCCAAACAAAAACTATATCCAAAAGTAGAGCCAACAATATCTCCAAAGAGTCAAACGAAACGAAAGCAAACCCAAGGACTCCCAGGACCCCCCCAAAGCAGGCCCAAAAAGACCGATCCAAGGCCCCCACAAACAGGCCCAAAAAGACCGCCACAACAGGAAGAAACGTAACTCCTCCAACAGTGCTCCAGGGGCAGCGGGAGGCCTGCAGCGGGAACGCACGGCGCAGAGCAGAACAACACTTCAACATAAGTGCTCAGATCATGAAGTTGTTCGATTAATGTTTGGAACGCC